CAGCTGTAGGTTACTCGGAGAATGATAGCTGTGTAGCTACTGCAGCTCCCTTTGAACCTAAGGTTCCCGCAAACTGATGCTGTACCAGTGTGGTACGTATCAAGGAGGGCTTTGCATTTCTCTGAGCATCATCCCTAGATGATGATACTAGGGCAGTAGTCTTTCCATCTGCACTTAAATTCTTCTCTTCCTTAAAGTCAGCAAGCGGCTTTTCCACTGTTGAAATAAGACCTTTTAGGACGAAGATTAACTTTTTGTTTTAATATTTATCTTACGTGCCGGAAGGTACAAATGTAGCATAGAGAATGTGGGTTTTTAGCTGTGGGCGAAGAGCCTGAGATGACTATTCATTCTGCTCTTTGTAAAATGTAAATTACTGTCAGGATAACAACAGGCTGTAATACAGGGTTTGGTATTTTACTATGTACATTGCAAACCACTGTAGCATTAACTTTGCTTCTTATCTGGGGCTACATAACGACTCGGGTTGGTTTTTCGCATCTGCTACAAACCAAAATTTTTATCTTCTGCCTTCATGCTTGTTTAAGTAGCCAGCGGATGTTAGCGGCAGGCTTTTGAGCAAAATGCTCGGCCAAATTCTGCATTTTTATGGCCTCTGCAATAAGGCAAACCTTTAATACGAGCCTTTTCCAGCACAGCTGAAACACGGCTTCTGTGCAGAGCCCCTGGCTGCTGAGACAGAAAACGTGGCTGAATTATTATTTTTTTTTTTTTCCAGGCATTTTGCTGCTCCCGAGCCATCATGCTGGCTTGTTGGGGCGGTTGGCGGCTGGAGGACCGACGCAGCCCCCAGTACAGGATTAGGCGGTGTGTGAATTAAGGCACATTTATATGCTTTCCTTCTCAGAGGCATTCGCAACCAGGCCTACAGGGTTTTTACGTATTAAGTGTATTTTTAGCAAAGTTCTTAAGGTGCTTTTTGCATGACTTCTGCAAATTAGAAAGCAGTTAGCTTGTTCCTACTGTCGCCTTATTAATTACCGTGGTAGACTTAAACTGATTTGGGAAAGGATGTATTGCAGAGGATTGTGCCCTTTTTTTTTTTCTTTTATTCCCCAAACTGTTCATCAAATCTCCATCACATTTGATCATTAATCTTTCCGAAAAACAGTGATGGCTTAGTGCCAGGTTCCTAACTCTGGAGAGTAAAGATGACAACAACGACTTTCTACTCTGAGCGACCCTCTGCATTAGGAGCCGTTCAATTCAACACTAAGTAAATATTGATGAAAATGCCTCCTTCTTAAAAAAGGGTCATTTGGAAATAGTCCTGTTCCCTTACAAATATTGTAGTTGATTTTGTTTGCAGATTATTTCTATTAGAAACTTGCACCAGCAAATGCAGAATAAATACTATTTGAAACTAAGAGGTAATGAAACAGCTGTATCTTGTTTAAACCACTTGCAATAGCAGGAGTGTGTTCCATTTTAAATACTTTTTTTGTGTTACTAGGTAGATTTGTGTATTCACACATCTGGGATAGATGTTGTTTTAAAATACTAATGATGATGATGATTAAGGAATGGTGTGGTTTAGAGAAACATTTGTTATGGAATAATTGTGAACTGTGAGTTAATCTATACACTTTGAGCTTCATTTCATGTAAAAGATAAATATAAAGGAAAAAACCCAGTCTGTTTACCTGACATTGCACCTGTGAATTATATTGAAAGAAAACTGCGTAATAAAATAATGTAGAAGTTGCTGAAGGCCTGGTGTGTGCAAGTATGTGGGAATGGTGATCTACATTGCATGAATAATTTTTTTGAATTATTAGAGTGACGAATATCCTCTTGCAGGGAACAATAGAGTAACTTATTGTAGCTATGACAATGTATTTTTAGTATCGACTAATTTTCAACTATTACAAACTAAGCTCTTTGTTTAGTTTTTTTAAAGACGGATGGAATATTTCCTGATGGAAAGGTTTGTAGCTTACAAACTACAGCGCGTGGTTTGGTCTGATGGGAACACACTCATAAATATGCAGTTTGGGTTGCAAGGTGCTTGCTACTACAGCCCGCCCCGTCTATGGGCAGCTGGAGGTGCTTTTCTCTCATGCTATGCTCTTTCTATTTGAAGTCTCATTTTAACTAATTATCCTTAACTAATAATATCTATTTTGGTTACATTCAAGCGTGACTGAGTTATTATCCAGACCATTCGATGGAGATATTTAATTTTAAGATGCTTAGATGTGGCGGAGATGAAACTGGGTTATTGATGTCCCGGCCAGTGTGTTTTTCCTCTTAATGGATGTATTTCGTATTGTCGTTAAAAGGGTTTGAATGACTCGGTGGGCCTCTGAGCTTTAATTTCTCTGATATTTGTATGTTGAAGGGCAGAGGCTGTGAATCAGTTGGTTCAGATGTACTCTTAGACTGTAATAATACTATTAAGCTCACAAATTGACCGAGTTTGTTCGTGTTGTGTATGTTTTGCTGCATCTCCCCAGACCAGACTTCTAATGCGCCACCCTAGCCCCTGTACTGCTCCTTCGCCGTTGTTTAGACCAAGTTTCACATATCCTTTTCAAATCATTTGCTGTGCTCGATTCCAACCAGAAGAGCATTGTTTTTTGCTGAGGGCTTCTAAATTACCAGGGGAGGTCTGACTTGAACCCCGTCTGAATTCCCTCTGCTCTCTTGTGGGTATTCTTACAAACACTCCACTTGAAAGGCTGACTTTATTTTATCAAGGAGAAAGCCTCATTTTGCGCCTTGGAATGAAATAAATGGCTGAAATTGTAACGCTAGTTGATATGACTAATGTGAAAGCTTTTATTATGCTTTCTTTTTCGGCAGGCAGTTTGAGTAATGCTAATAATCAGTGCTTTTGTTAGGCGGATTTGGGGGACCTGTGGGGGTGGCTAAGACCAAAAGAGCAGGACTGAGTCGAAGCATAGAAAGCGCAGTCTTGCTCTAGCAGAGAAGGAGGGAAAGCTGGAGGGGGACTTTTTGCAAGGGCATGTAGTGATCGGATGAGGGGGAATGGCTTCAAACTGGAAGAGGGGAGATTTAGATTAGATATGAGGAAGAAATTCTCTCTTGTGCGGGCGGTGAGCCCCTGGGGCAGGTTGCCCCAAGAAGCTGTGGCTGCCCCATCCCTGGAGGTGTTCAAGGCCAGGTTGGACGGGGCTTGGAGCAACCTGGGCTGGTGGGAGGTGTCCCTGCCCAGGGCAGGGGGGTGGGAACTCGATGATCTTCAAGGGCCTTTCCAACCCAAACCATTCTATGATCCTATGAATATGAAAATTGGGTTATCTGTCATCTGGTCAACCTTACAAATTACCAGTTTTCTTGCATTACTGAAAGCAAGAAGCAACACAGATGTAGATTTTTCTTTGCACGCACCAGGAATTGGAGTAAGAGTATGTGAAGTCAAATTAAATTTCTCAAGAGCAAAAGGGGTTTTACAGCAGTCTGAGTCCCTGCCGTCTTGCAGACGGTACTTGAAAAGTCTGGTCTGCTTCCCGTCTTGCACTTCAGCTGGGTCAGTACTGATGGACTGTGATGTCAAGTAGCATGCTTTGTTGAAATAACCTCAAAACTATCAAAAGCATAAAAAAGCATCTTAAACATAAATGAATTGAATCAGTGCTGCACACAACACTGAGGTATACTTTAAAAGGAGTACAGCACAGGCGTAGTATCTCCAAGGCTGTCCAGCTGGTTTTGGACTTCTGAAGTCCTAATTTGGCTCTTTATCAAGAAGACACAATCCATTAATGTATCTTTCTTTGGAAACCTTGTTTCATATTCATATTTCAAAAAGATAAAACTCTTTTGAATGCATAAGCTCTGCAGGTAGCTGTCGTCTGCCTGGGCTGTGTTCACATTAGCAAGTAGTTCAGCCCGTAGAAGTGGAGCTGCAAGGTGAGGAATGAAGGGCCAAGGACCTGGTGTCCAGCCTGTAGGTGTTTTAGGGGCTTTCGTTTTGGTCTGTATATGGATTTAGCGTTCTCAGTTGTTCATTTGCACAGGCTGCTGTAGGAGTTTTTTGCAAAATGTCATAACATGGTGGTTACGCTGCATTAGCAGATGGATGAAGTTGAACTTGACAGTCTGAAGGGAAGATTGGAGGGTTCACCTGAGCGTGACTCACTGTGTGGTGAACACTTTAGTTGTAGAGATTGAAAGAATCTCAGGAAAAACACGTCAGTGGTTTTGTTGCACATTTTCTGTCATAACATGACACTGGCAGAGGCACTTTTAGAGAGCAGGTTGTGTTATGTACCCATTTGGGTGGTCTCCCAGAGAAGGCTTGAACTTTGAGTTCTGAAATCGGTATCTTCAGAAACAACTCATTTTTACTCAACTTCACAGAGCGGCTACTAAGAACTCCAGACTTCCAACCCCATCGCATGCAAAACCAAAACTGCATTTGTGATTTAATGCACACTAATATAACTTTGGAATTTTCCATTTAGTCATCAAGAAATGAATTAATGGTGGTGTTATTCCTGTAACAGTGGTGCCGCCTCTAGTGAATATAATGGCCTTTGGTATTTGATTAATACTCAAAGAATCAGTGCAGTATCGCACTTTTGTGTGCTCCAGTTTGTATAATTTAATAGAAAATATAATAAACTAAGTCATAAATCCTTTAACTTCTTGTTTGTATTTCCTTTCAATTTTGTATATGGAAGATATTTCAAGCAGCTATGTTATTCTTTGGTGTTATTATAGACGTGAAACTTGTAGCTAAAAGAGGATGTTGAAATCACATTAAATCTATTTTTATTTCAATACTTGATGTGTCTAAAATTTATTTACCAAAAATAATTACAAGTTAAATTTTCTGTAATTTTTTTTTACCTCTCTGCAGATGAACTTGATCAGATTTTTGGGGAAAATTTTGGATTTTTTTCCCAAGGAAATACTCATTGGGGCACCGTGCAGTTGCGCTAAAGTTCACGTGCTATTAATGAGCTCGGCTGATGGACACGTGGATAAATCTTGCCTTTTTTTTGCCGCAGGTCCAAGGAGCTAATAAAGGAAGCGATCCTTGACAATGACTTCATGAAGAATCTGGAACTGTCTCAGATCCAGGAAATTGTGGATTGTATGTATCCCGTGGAGTATGGCAAAGACAGCTGCATCATCAAGGAAGGAGATGTGGGTTCCCTGGTGTATGTCATGGAAGGTACGGTTTAAAAAGCTAGTATTTGATTCTTTTTTTCAAGACATACAGAGACAAAAACTTTATTTCATGGGAAAAAATGTTTCAAAGAAAGAAGTTAAAGACGTTGTCTAAATATGGTTGTTGAAAAATTGTGTGGACTACTTTTGCCTGGAGAATTTCTGACTAAATTTGCGTACCTCCCTATATAAAGAAAGAGGGTGAAAGCTGTTAACCTTGCACTGAGATTCGTTTGAATAAACCTCCACTAAATATAGTTCTTTGGCTTTGAGGCAATACCAATGGTTTGCTATATAAATTAGGGACTTAACAGAAAGAATGGTGTTATGGAAATGGGAAATAACTGTACAACAAGGAGAGTATGGTCATGGCTTGTTACCTTGTAGGGCATTGTGAGGACAAGGTTATAAATGTTGATAAAGCACATGGGGCTCTCTGCAGAAGCGATGCGTTGTGTAATAGAAAATGGTATTTTTTCTGTCCTGTGCACAAAATAAGTGTAGCATCTGCAGTTTAGCACATCTGATTTGTCACAGTGTGTGTTGTAGCAGGGTTTTGTTTTCTTGGTGGAATATGAGAGCATTGGATATTCTGCTGTTCTTGGGAGCCGTCAGGTTTCTGAAAAGCTTTTAACGGGATCAGCGTTGCCAGTGTTCTGCCTCTCCAAAATGTCAGCTATTTGCATTTTGTATCTTGTTCTTTCCAAGTTCTCTAACTCTTCACAGGTCAAATCGAGCATCTTTTATAGATGTGCTTTCTCTTTAAAGGAAGTGTATGCTCATTTGTAGGAGTTCCTAAGCTTGATCAAACCTCTTGTCCGTCTACTACAACATCCCTCTTCTGAGAGAGTGACTGATAATGAGTTCTGAGGCAAATGTCACTGTTTTATTTCAACTAATGCAACAAGCGAATTCTCAGTTTGATTTGGTACAATGCAAATGGATAGATGCTTATAAAATTCTCCTTGCTCCTTACCAGGGCCATCTGGTAGACTTGCAAGTATTTTGGCCAGATAACACCTAAGGGGAATGGAGGTTTCTCGTTTGCCCGTATCTTTTGAGCAAATATGGGAAAACTACAGCTTATGTATAACTTGTGTGTTTATATCTACGTGTACATGCTCAAATTCGTTTCTTAAATTGTTCTTTTAAACAAAAATATTTTCAAGGCAGTAAGCCGTCCTTTAAACATGGTTTCCTGCCAAACTCTTAACACTGTATAGTTGCAAATGCTCTTCACTAGTTTCCCAAAACAGCTTTAATGTTCTGTCCTTTTAAGGTTAAGTCCTTTCTCAAGGCACAGGTTAATTCCTTCAGTCCTCCATTTGAATACAGAGACTACTTTGATGAGGTGCAGGATCTGTTCTACTGCTAATAATAAACTGCCTTAAAATAATATTTGAATAGTGGGTTTTTTTGGTTTGGGTTTTTTTTTGGTTTTTTTTTTTTTTGGTGGTAAAATGTGGAGGTTTTTCACTGCACAGCTCTGTGCTTGCTTCCCAAAACACCACCACATCAGAGGCATGCTCACAGTATTTTTGCTGCACGGCTGGTTTTGAATGTCTTGTTCGGTGTTGTCCATTGATAAACCCCATAACAAGAGGACACTATCAAAATCGGTGCATATTTATCTCCTGCTCAGCCTCTTCACATTCTTTAGAGAGGACTTTTTGGGGCGTTCACAGGCAGACCTGTTCCCACCACAGTTTGGAGTATTGAACACCGTTTGTGTCCTGGTTTGAGCAGCACAGGATTAATTTCTCTTTCAGTAATTTTACTTTTTAGTAAGGTCTCTTCTAATGCTATAGAAAACTGCATTTTTGGAAGACTCTAGTGTCTGAATTTGTGAAAATATTTACTTTATAGCCAGTTATGGTATGTGGGTTTCAAGGCCTCAGTATTTTGGAGCTTGCCAGGTGCAGGGATAAGGAGAAGCGAGACCCGAGCACTTGACCCAAGCTGCCCAACAGGATTATTTCACGCTGTGAACGGCACATTCAATATAAATTAGAAAGTTTGCTGAGGAGTTTCTCCTCTTCTTCGATGGCTGCCATCCTGAGAACTCCTTGCCCCGGTGCCGGAGCCCTGAGCCCTTCCCTTCCTCCCGAAGCCATAGGCCTCGCAGCATCCGTTCTCCACTGCTCTCCGCTGCTGGGAGTGCACAGCTTCCTGCTGATATAATAAGCTGAATATAATCATGGTATATTTTATATTGGTATTAGGATCAATATTGTTTTTTTATTATTATTATTGTTAATTAAATCTGTTTATATTTCAACCCTCAGGTTTCCTTGTTTTTCCCCGATTGCCCTTCCCGGGTGGGGAGGCCTTATCCGGTGATAGAATAATTGTCTAAACGACAATAAATTGTTGTGGGTTCCTCAAACCATAACAGCTTGGTACCGAGATGACCCTTTATTTTGATACATCTGATGATAATGCACTATTAGTGTCACTTCCTTGAATGTTTCTAATTGTTGGTCCAAACTTTATCCCTGGATTTTTGATTTCTTTTCTTCTAAAACTAATGTGTGTCAAAGACAACTTTTGCATCTTTTGGGCTCTTTAGCTTACCCTTGCTCTTCTGGCAGCCCTCTGTGTATGAGGGCATGACTTGGCTCTCCCCCAGTCTTCGGTTGGTCTCGTAACTTAATTTAAGATTATTTAGATAGCTCCGTAAATATGCATAATGCTTTACAAACAAAATTATGAAGAGTTTATAGTCTATGTTTAGACATAATGCAATGAGTGATGATGAAGTAATGGAAATGGAAGAAGACGTTATCAAATGGGTTGGATTATGGTTATGAGAACAGGCTCACTAGCTCATTTTGGCTTATCATACTGTCTCTTCTCAGATATTAACACCCCTCACTGCCCCCTTCCCCTCCCCCCAATTATAAACTTTATTCTTTACAAAACTCTGCTGGAGAAATCCATCTTTGAATATTACTGAGAGGTATTTTCTTTTCACAAAAATCAAATAAACGCTGCAAGTGTTTCTTCCATTAATTCCTTTTTCTTTCCTTGCTTGGACTTACAGCCGTGATTAATATGAATAAAAATTTCTCATGTAGAGCATTTGATAACCAATACTCTTACGTTTGTTTACAATGTATGATTCAGTGTTTACATAGAGCCACTTACCAGAAGGCTGACTTATATATTGGTAATGTTTCCTTAGACTATATTTAAATAATAATTTAAGTAAGATGGATTTGAAAACATCCATCATTTTCACTGTTACTTTCTGCATTCTTGTTTATCATGGTGAAGCAATAGTCGTGTCTGTTTTAATTTCCCCTCTAGACAACAAGGACTCTACTAGTTCTGGTGAGACCTTTATAACTGCAATCGTTGAGTGTTTTGGTTCTTTACCATGGATGTTAAAATTGTTATGCGTGTGACACTTGCTGAGCTTGGTGAATCTTACAAGGCTGTATAATTACGAATGTTGACCTCCAAACTCTTTCTTCTTTGCTATGGCTTGATGCTGCTTTCTGAAGGTAATGCCGGGTTTGCAACCTTCCTTGGGTGGGAATGGCTGTAGCATTGTACCTCAGTAAAGAGTCAGGAAAAAGCTTGACTCCACTTTTCCATGTTCTCTTTGGTTCTAGCAGAAAGGTAATTTCATGCTGTCCAATACCAGGTTTACATGTGCAGTCATTTTTATCCATGCATTTGCCCAGTGCTACCCACACTGGTTGGCTT